CTCTCTCTCTCGTATTAACAACCTAACTTATTGGCCTCTACTATCACCACCAAAATAGCCTCACTGTCGTTGACCACGTTAGTTGAACCGTCGCCAACTGCCTCCTTCCCTGACATTAAATACATCCATCTCTGATCGTATCCTTCCCCGACATACCAGGTTGCACCTCGGGTTTGGTGGCACTTCTACATCCTTACAGTGTTATTCCAATAGAGTTCTGGTTCAAAGCCTCCTTCCCTATCCACCAACCGCCAAAAACGGAAAAATGTTTGACATCCACACCCATTGGCTCTCCAATGGATCTCCAAAATTAGGTGCGATGCTGGAACAGAAACAAAAAAGTCCACACCCATAATCCATATGGTCGAAAAGTCGAGTTGTCGTATCGATCGTTGCTCGGAAACTATTCTGCAAAAAGAAACTAATCGTCGTCCGCCGCTTTGCGCGGGTAAACGACTAGTGTGTGTATATATATATATATATATATATATATATTATAAAGCATATTTGACATTTCTTGAAAATTAAGAGGTACAAATATTACTATAATATGTACAATCATTTTTAGCTTAATATCCATTGCAATTCTTGTAACGTCTCCCCATATAAAAAAAGAAACCCAAACACGCTCCTCCCCCTTTCTCTTTAAACCCTAGATCTCATCCGCCCACTTCCCCAACAATTAAGAATGAACTATCACCACGAACCGGTGTTACCTATTTATTTCTCCGCCACCTCCACCCAATCTTCGCCCTCGCACCACTAACCGCCATCTGCACTTGCATCTCCTCCGTCTGCCACCATTTTCAATCGTTGTTAGCATAAGCAGAACCAAGTAAGCTTCTATGTAACTTTTTTATTCATAAATCTTGACTATCTGTTGCATCACAACCAAATCTTATTGATTTATACTTTTTCCTTCCAATAAAACATGATTTTGATTTTTAGTTTCAACAGAAGAGTAACTTTGAAGGAGAAAGAGATATAAATAAAGGTTTGGATTTCTTTGCTTTACTACCCCGTATCTAAACTCACACGTCTTTATGCTTCAATTCTTAGTCTCAGATTTGAACTTCCCTTTTTCGCTTCCTTGCTCAATCTCAGATCTGATCTTATGATTTTTTTTCCATTAGTTTTTATTTTATTTAACTGATTCTCAGTTTTTATCAGTTTTTGTACTTCAACTCTCAGCCCTAGATTCACTTCAGTCTCAGGATAGAACTTTCAAGGGAATATGTTTCTTGTTGAGCATTGGTAATGGTCTGTTTCTATCTATCTATTCTTGAGATATAGTCATCATTGATAAATTTTTTTATTTTCATCTACATTTAATATATCATTAATGGTGTATAAATGTTTGCAGAAAATCATCTATTCTTAGATTTTCTTTGACTATACCCCTCTTGGTAATAAAAAGACATGCTGCTAACTCAAAGGTTTACTCTCCATGGTATGAATGGGTGTGCGGTTTTTGATTTAGTTCAATTCACACGCACACACAAATCACTGCATCCTGAATTGATGGTGTTGTATAATTTTATATGAAATTTTTTGTTTTTTTGCAGGTTACATACTCTTTTTTCATGAAACCTACACATATTCCCCCTGACCAAGATTGACATATCTTTTACTTAGAGTTATCTTTATTCTTTTGATCCCGAAAAGAGTTATCTTGCTATTTTAGTTATTCTTTTTAAGCTTATTCAAAGTTTTGATCCCTATTACAAAGAAAAAGATTGTCTTTGGGGCTATGTGGGTTAGGGTGGTGGTGCCATATAAACCTAATAATAATAAAAGAATGAAATAAATGTTCATAAAAGGTGTATGTTTAGAGTTCCTGAAGGTGATTGACTATTTAACTTTTCACTAATTTTTTTCTTCATTTGACTTGGTTGTAGGTTTTAACATTGATTCCTCATATATAAATTTGATGAATTCAAGTCATATAATGTACAAGCTTCAATGGGTAAGTTTAGTTTTAATTTCTGCGACCATCTAAAGTCAAAGGAAATGTTGGGGTTGCTTTAATTGTAGAGGGTGTTTGGCTAAGCTTATGATTTTTCATAAGTACTTTTCAGCTTATAGCTTATAGCTTATAAGTTGATAAGTTAGGAGTCTCTTACTTATTGATTTTGACTTATTACCGGTATGGCACCGGTATAATCTATTTTTATCCAAACACCTTTTTTCGCTTATACCGGTGTGGAACTGGTAATAAGTCAAAAAACTCCATTTTTAAGCTTTGCCAAACACCCCCGTACTCTATATTTTTAATGTTTCTATATATTTAATTATGTCATACAGATTAAAAGAGAGCTTTGGATGATTTTTCCTTCATTGATGGTCCAGGTAGGTGTAAATGTAAAACAGTTAAGAGTTTGGTGCTGCATTTTACTGGTTTGTTAATTAAATCCTTTAGTTGGTCATTTTGGACCAATTTGCCCCTGATGTTGGTAGGTAGTAAATATTGAAGCTGCTCATTGCTTATTGTGTTTGGAGTTTGGTAATAGTGAAATTTATAAAGCTCTTGATAGTTGGGTTAGTTCCTACCTGTGTCAAGGGGCAGTTTCACCTTTGTTGACGAATTTACCCTTGATCCGGACATACCCCTAAAGTGAGTTATATCACTCTTCTCATTGGTTTTTCATTCAAGTAATTTCTTTTATGACCTACCTGGTTAAAATCTTATCTTGTAGTTGTTTCCATTGATTTTTCATTCAAGTAATTTCTTTTATATTCATTTTCTACTCATTTATGTTCATTTTTTAGTTGTGAAACTGATATTATATCCTGTTGAATGGGAGTTAACATGCTTACACTCAATGTTATGGATTATTAGGGAATTGACATGAAAAAAAGGCACTGGGGATTTGTGGAGTTTGTTTGTTTAGGTAAACAGGATTAGGGCCAATTTAGTTGTTGTTGTTTTTTTGTTTTTTTGTTTTTTTATACTTTTCTTCACTGTGGTTCTTTTTTATTTTAATTGTAGTTTGCTTTCATTCTGTTTTTTGTCATTCGTATTCTTTATTTGTTAATAAGATCAAATCTCCAATTTAAATTGTGATAATATGCTTATATTTAGTTTCACTCGATTTAAGAAATCTTGAGGTAGAGCATCCAATATTTTGGAAACATGTTTATGCTTTGTGCGTTTTTTGGTTATCTTTTGTTTCCACATTTTTATATCTTGTTTTTTTTAGGTGTTAACCTACATTTAAAAAAAATGATAGTTTAAACTACATAAAAAAAACTTAAAACTCAATATTATCAATGCCACAATCATATGCACGTTTAACTTTTAAATTGTATACAAGATTCTCATCTGCTTGCAATTTATAATTTAATGTTATACTTATTTTCAATACTTCTATTTTTAATCCAAAACAACAAATAGAAATGGACATTTCTGAATAACAAATAAACACCGAAAGGAAATGATTCATCGAAAGGCAATTTGTGTTTCTTGAAATATAACATGTTTTCTAATGGAAATAATTTCCGAAACTAACTATTTGCATAACTAACTTTATGTGACATTACCAAAAGGGATATCACGTGCCGATACAAAAGTATTGGTGAAACCTAACGAACAATACAACGACTGTGAAGTCTATACATCAAATGTAGTGTATAAAAAAGTATTGCATGATTAATAGTGTACAATCAATCATATGTCCGTACACATTGTAAACAATCCGGACTCTTCATTTTTTATTCTTACCGATTAATAGTGTACAATTGATCACGTGCTCGTACACATTGAAGCGCCACCTATAACCGCACCATTAACATTTGCATCAAATTTATTTTAAACACATTTTTAATTTTAACCTAAAAGGATAACATACTTTTAATTTAACCACAAAAATACACTTATATTTTGAACCAAAACAGTAATGTACTTACATTTTGAAAAAAAAATTAAAAAAAAAAACTTAAAGTATGTTGCTATAATGGAAAAACAAATGATTGTATTAAGCCATTGCACTTTCACTTTTTAGTATCAAAACATTATACTTCGAAAAATTATATAATTATATCAATCAATATATTTATAGTTTAAATCAAAACATAAACATACTAATATTTGTTGCACCATCTGTCATCGTAGAGGAAATTAATCACCACATTAAAACTATCTTCTGAAATAAACTATTTGCCGCCCGCTGCTTTGCACGGGTAAACGGCTAGTATATATA